GGAAAAGCTTTTTCCGTTAAACGCATTTGAGGAAAAGAGCATCTAGATTGGCACAGATGCTTTTCCACAAAAGCACTTTTTGTGGAAAAGCTTCCGTGGCCAATGTAGACACGGTTTTCCGCAAAAAAGCCCCGATCGCCGTTTTTGCGATCGGGGCTTTTTTGCGCAAAACAAATCTGAGCTGTCTACACTGGCCCTTTTGCGCAAAAGCTTTGCACAAAAGGGATTTTGCCCGAACGGGAGCAGCATCGTATTTCCGCAAGAAGCACTGATTTCTAACATATCGTCAGTGCTCTTGTGGAAATTCAAGCGGCCAGTGTAGACAGCTGGCAAGTTTTTCCACAAAAGCAGCTGCTTTTGCAGAAAAACTTGCCAGTCTAGACACAGCCCCTATGAGTCTGGCTTGTACACAATAGAATGGGGGCTTTGCTCCCCTCCAACACTTAAAAGCCCCAATTTCAGGAGCTCAGGTGTTAAAATTGGATCAACAAGAACATTTGGTTCTTCAACCTCAGATTTCTCTGAAGGACCTTCAAATCCAATTGGAAGGCATGAATCTCTCTCACCTTGCACCCGCATGTGTCCCCTTGATTGAAACTAGCCATAGGGGTTGGGGTGAATGGATAAAAATGTGACAAGGGATCAGTCATGTAAATAGGGTCATAAGAACATTGGAATGGCCGTACTGGGTCAGACCAAAGGTCCTTCTAGCCCAGTATCCTGTCTGCCAACAGTGGCCAGCACCAGGTGCCCCAGAGAGGGTGGACCGAAGACAATGATCAAGCGATTTGTCTCCTGCCATCCTTCTCCAGCCTCTGACAACCAGAGGCCAAAGACACCATTTTATCCCCTGGCTAATAGCCTTTTATGGACCTAACCTCCATGAAATTATCTAGCTTCTCTTTAAACTCTATTATAGTCCTAGCCTTCACAGCCTCCTCTGGCAAGGAGTTCCACAGGTTGACTACACACCGTGTGAAGAAGAACTTTCTTTTATTAGTTTTAAACCTGCTACCCATTAATTTCATTTGGTGTCCTCTAGTTCTTCTATTTAGGGAACTAATAAATAACTTTTCTTTATCGGCCCTCTCCACACCACTCATGATTTTATAGACCTCTATCCTATCCCCCCTCAGTCGCCTCTTTTCTAAACTGAAAAGTCCCAGTCGCTTTAACCTCTCCTCGTATGGGACCCGTTCCAAACCCCTAATCATTTTAGTTGCCCTTTTCTGAACCCTTTCCAAGGCCAAAATATCTTTTCAGAGGTGAGGAGACCACATCTGTACACAGTATTCAAGATGTGGGCGTACCATAGTTTTATACAGGGGCAGTGAGATATTCTGGGTCTTATTTTCTATCCCTTTCTTAATCATTCCTAGCATCCTATTTGCCTTTTTGACCGCCGCTGGGACCCGTTCCAAAAAGAGAGTTAAAAGATTGGCTTGCACTTGTAGGAACAGGAATGTATTTAATTGACGCTGCAAACATAGTGGTTCTGTCGAATAAGTTATCATATGCCACTGAAAATATGGGGAACATGGGAATCCCCTCTTTGAAACAGTTAAGTGAGGAACAGCATCTAATGAGTAAGGCATTTCCTCGGTGGGAGAAACTCATAGAAAAAGGTGAAGAGTTAGTCATGTCTGGTGTATAATTTCTCCAAAATAATGTCTCATTGACTTTTGCATGTGAGCAAGCTCAGGCTCTGACCCAGAATGTAATCAAGGGAATGATTCAGCAAGCCGTAGCATGACAAATTCCCATGGAAGCAATCAACTTAATCCCACCCCATGTAACAGAGGAAGGACTAGTCCCCTAGCCCTGGTGGAGACAAGTTAATGCTTCATATAATCATGACCAACGAACCCTGCAGTTATTCCAGGGAAAGAAATCAGCATAATTCATCCTGTTGTCCCACTGGGATTACAAATGAGTAACAATTCAGCGAGGTACTCCAAGGGTCCCAACATTAGGGCCTGGCAGAAAGATAATGTATGGAACACAGGGAATGTCAAAGGGTGCAGGAGGAAAGAAGGGTTGGGCTATATTTGTGAGGACCAAGGCTTGGAGGAACATGACGAGTGTTTCTTCCCACAACTGGGAAATCAATCTCACTGTTCCTTTTATGTTATCAAGGAAGATGGGTCTGTTAGGGTACGTCTAGACTACAGGGTTTTGTCGACAGAAGTTTTGTTGACAGATACTGTCGACAAAGCTTCTGTCGACAAAGAGCGTCTAGACTACATCCAGTTCTGTTGACAAAGAGCGTCTAGACGACATCCAGTTCTGTTGACAAAGAGCGTCTAGACGACATCCAGTTCTGTTGACAAAGAGCGTCTAGACGACATCCAGTTCTGTTGACAAAGAGCGTCTAGACGACATCCAGTTCTGTTGACAAAGAGCGTCTAGACGACTCTGTCGACAAAAGGCGTTATTCCTCGTAGAATGAGGTTTACATACGTCGACAAAACTGCTGAGTTTTGTCGACGTTACGTCGACATAACTCAAAGGCAGTGTGGACGCAGGTACAGTTTTGTCGACAAAAGTCCACTTTTGTCGACAAAGCCCTGTTGTCTAGACACACCCTTACTGTCTATATTAGTAAAGCATGTGCATGTAAGAACAAGATGTAATATTGCATTAATTACCAGATATTGGATTCAACCCATGATGCCTTACATTAATCACTGTTTTTGTAATGTAACCACCAGGGATGGCTCCAGTTTTTTTGCCGCCCCAAGCAAAAAAACGTTTGGCCACCCCCGCTTTTTTGGTCTGGGGAGGGGGTGTGTGGAAATGCAGCTTGTGCGGCTTACTGGGGGGTGGGACATGCTTCGGGGGGAGCCCAAACCCCGGGGCATTTTCATCGCCTAGGAGAGCGCCAGGAACTCCCCACGTGAGGACAATAGGAGGGCAGGTTCATCCACAGCAAGTCAGTTAAAGACTCCAAAGCAGGCTGTTCACATCACCTAGGGCTGGAGTCCTGGTCCCACTCCTCACTCTGCAAAGGAAGTTTATTATTAGAAGCCTTATAATCACTCAGACTCCAACCCCAACCCATACGCTGTCCAACTCTTGGTGTCTATGGACAAGAATCGGCCTCACTATACAATGAGACAGTTCAAAGGGATTAAGAGAACTTTTGTTTCAACTCCCGAGCTCAACTGTTCACAACAACAAGACAGGCACCAGACAACAAAACCCCACTAGCCTAGGACCTATTCCATGAGCACAGCCCCGTGATTTCTCCTTCAGGGACCGACCAAACAGCCTCTGAAGCTAGGTGGATTGATTTAAATAGCTTTGATTTAAATCTCTAATTTAAATAATGATTTTAACCGGCCAGCAGAAAACCTTGGTTTAAATGAGCAAGTAATCATTTAAATTATACTTTTAAAATATTTTCCTAAAGGATGGTTGAGTCTTATTGATTAGCAGCCTTTAAAACATGTTGATTTAAAACTAAATATAACCTTTATGCCAAATTTGGTGGTTCCATTTACTAACCAGAAGAATACAGTCAGTACAGCTACCAGCTAAATAAATGCCCAAATAATTCTGCTTACATGTAAGTTACACATTCTTAATTTTTACATTTTTATTCTATTACAAAATGGCGTGTAATAGGAACACTTAAGAGACAGGTTTTACCCCATTTATTATATGCTAAGCAGTGGCTACTTTTTTTAAAACATGATTTCCATCTACTTCTGTCTGGACAGAAATTCAATTTAAAATAAACATGGGTTTGTGTGAAATAAAACTACTTTAAATGTGAAGGACACATAACAAAAAAGTATCCAAACACATTTTGCATCTAAAATTCATTTATTAAACGAAGGAAATATCCATCGTGAATTGAACAGATCAAATCTAGTCATCATCTTCTTCAAGATGTTAGAATGTTCTCATAACCAGTTTTTTACTGAGAGAAGAAGAACATAAGTTTTTCTGCTTCATCAACTCTTGGTTTTGCAACAGTGAATGAACTAATCATTGGATTGAACTAGCTGAATAAACCAAAGTGACAAAAACATTCCCTGTTTACCTGTAGAAGCTGCTACTGCTGATATAAACGCTGGGTCCGGGTGCTACACAGCAACTTACATTAATGAACAGATAGAATTTCTTTCAAAGTTGACTGGAGACATGTCCTATTTCATTTTTCAATTTAATTCATACGTTATTTAAATAGATTGTGATTATTTTTGGCCATAATGATTTTTGTTTTAATTGTAAGGTCTATTATTTAAAACAAAGCCTATTTCAATGGGATCACAATTCCAATTTTAATAACACTCTCCTGCCCCAGACAGGAAGGGATTTGGGGACACAGGCACTGGGAACACCAGAGTTCCCCTTCCTCAGACAAAGGGGGAGGGAGAATCCCCTGGGTCCCAGGCAGGGGTGAGGTCGTTAGGACACAGCAGTCTGGTTCTGATGTCCAAATATGTACATCGGCAAGTCTGGTCCTGAAGTTTTTTTTGCTGCAGGATGACGAGAAACTATTGAGCTACAGTTCATCTTCAAGTTTGACACAATCAACTCTGGATTAAACAAAGACTGTGAATGGCTCGCTAACTACAAAAGCAGCTTCTGCTCTCCTGGTATTCACACCTCCAGATCAGCTACTAGAAGTGGGCCTCATCCTCCTTGATTGGATCCACCTCGTCCTCTCCAGCTTGATCCTGGTCTGCATATTTATACCTGCCTCTGGAAATTTCCACTACATGCATCTGACCAAGTGGGTCTTTGCCCACGAAAGCTTATGCCCCTACACTTCAGTTAGTCTATAAGGTGCCACAGGACTCTTCGCCGCTTTTGCAGATTCAGACTAACACGGCTCCCCCTCTGATACATGTCAAAAAAGAGTTACCTTTCTCAACATTGTGTGTATACACCACAGCCAACAAAAGTTGTGACATCATCACGGTTGTCCGACAAAGCTTTATAACTTAATTCTCACAACTTTTGATAAGGAAAGCAACCTCAAAGAGACGTGTGTAGAAAATGCAAAGCTTTTATTCACCACATGAAAAGAAACAACTAAAAACCAACAAAAATCTATATATTAGTGTAAAAATCTTTTTTTCTCTACTCGCCAAATATGTACAAATCCCATTTCCAAATAATAATAGTTAAAAAAAAAAAAAAAAAAAAAGAAGAAACTACCAAGATTAGCAAGGAGGAACAATATGAATAAAAAGCATTTGACAGGGTTGTGTGTGGGTGGAGAGAGACAAAAACATACACATCCGAATCATTAAATCTATATCACAGTTATCAATATTTACTCCTCAGAAACAAAAATATGACTCTAAGGCTTTCGAAAAAAGTTTAAGGAAATGTAGTGCCCAAAAGCGCATCCGTTTCCATGAGCACTTCCCTCACCTTCACCCCCTTTGAGACGCTCAGTTAAAGACTCTGTTACAGTGATGTGCGATTTCACACCTCAAAAGGCACTTGATTTTCCGAGAAGGCCCTTTACAGTGTCCCCAGCTGTTTTCCTTCCCTCTACAAGAATTAATGCACCTAAAACACGAGTCACCGGTGAACCTCTTGCTACCCCCAGGCCCTGCAGTACGGTATCTACAATCCTTTGCTCCACGTCTCAGGAGGAAAGAAAACTTAAGTTACACACAACGAGGCCTGGATCCCAGAAGTAGCCGCACGGACGTTGACTGGCACCGGCTGGTGATCTGGCCACGTTGGAACGAACAGTGTCTCTCGCTGGATTAGGGCAGACCACCCAACCGCCTTACACCTCCCTCCTCCGAAGGTGGTCTTGTTGCCTGCAGGCTATTTCATTGTTATCCCGTACCTTCACCCCACCCCACCCCTCCCTTCCCCCCGTCCATGTCAGTAGCAACTTGTATATCCAGTGTTCAGCTCAGCCTAGTGCCATGAGACCACGGCGCTAGTTTTTCCCCAGTGTTAGTCCAGTCCAAGTGAAATTAAACTAATACAGACGCCCGATCCCCAAAGCCCTTTGGGGTCAGCCCCATGGCCGGGCGGCAGCGGGGAGAAAAGAAACACCGGCCAGAGGATGCGGAGGGGAAGAGTGGAAGAGAGAGAATGGAAGGAAAAAGATGAGTAACGAGGAAGCAAGTATAGATGGGGAGAAAGAGAGAGAAGGGGACGGAGGCATACAGAAGGGATGAGAGAGAGAGTGTGAAAAAGGATGAACAGAGAGAAGAAGAAATAGATGGATAGAAAGGGTCAGGAATGCTTGGAGAGAGACGTGAGCGAGCCGGCCAGGGATGGACAGACAGAGGTAGAATCCAGACACAAGGACAGAGGCCCCTTAAGACGCCCCCATAAAGAAGCTTCCAGTTCCCGGGTCCAGGTCCCCGCCGGCACTCCGGCACAAGGGCCCCACAGCTGGGGAGACGCAGAAGAGATGCCGGCACCCGGGGGTCCATGTGGTCTCCTTGCCCCCTGCTCCGGGCGGCTCACACCATGTTGAGGGCATCCTCAGACAGGAAGCGGTGGATGTGCTGGAAGGAGGGACGGTCCTTGGAGTCGCGGGTCCAGCAGCGGAGCATCACCTCGTAGAGAGCCAGGGGGCAGGCCGGGGGCTGGGCCAGGTATACCTGGGGGGGGAAGGGCAGAGAGGGGGCAGTGAGGGCCCAGCCCATAAACCAGCTGGCCAGCCCACCCTGTGAGACGTGCCCCCCAGGTAGTCACCCACACAGAAGTTGCGGGCAAGAAATGGAGACTCCACCAGACAGACACTTTGATCCTCGCATGCACCGGGGGCTGCTTTGTCTGCACCCCCACAGCGGGAGTGGGTGAGCTCCTTACGGCGAGGAGAAGGGTGTAAAATAACAGACAACGGCCCCTGCATGGCCTCTCCTCCCTCTCGACACTCGGACAGTCAGAGAGAAGCTATACTGCACTGCGAGGGGGAGAAGGAGGGAGAGCGATCGAATGAGCTTGCTGAGAGCTTTTTGGGTGGAAAAAAAATTTTCCCGCCCCACTTTCAAATCCGATTTAGCTTAAGAACATGAGCACAGCCAGACGGGGTCAGACCAAAGGTCCATCTGGCCCAGTGTCCTCTCTGCCCACAGGGAGTGAAAAGACCAGGTGCCCCACAGGGAGTGAAAAGAATAGGGAGTCATTTCCAGCCCCTGGCAAACAGACCTGCGGACACCATCTCTGACCATCCTGGCTAATAGTCACTGATGGACCTAACCTCCATGAATGTATCTAGCTCCCTTTGGAACCCTATTAAAAGTCCGGGTCTTCACAACCTCCTCTGGCAAGGAGTTCCGCAGGTTTTCTGGGAAGAAAAACTTCCTTTTGGTTGTTTTAAACCAGCCAGCTATTAATTTCATTTGGGGACTCCTAGTTCTTGTGGTATGGGAAGGAGCAAATAAAGTCAAGCTTAGCAACCAGCTTTTGCAGGGCGGGGAAGGGAGCGAGTTTTTATATCTTTGTAACCAATTCTGACCTCTACATCTTTGGCACTTAAAAATCGATATCTTTGTAACCAATTCTGACCTCTACACCTTTGGCACTTAAAAAAAAATCAATCCTCCTCCTCTCATTAACCAACTTGGGCTTAGTGTTTTATCTAAGCCCGTGTTGCCGCTCGAGACCACACAGGCTGGGGCATTTCCATAACCCTGTGATGGAATGGCAGACTAATTTAACGAGCTTACACCGGGCCTGGGGGGAGGACTTGCAGGCGTCTCGCGGGGTACGGCTCACGCGTGGTGGGAGAGCATTCGCGCGGCTGGCAGGGGGCTTAAGGCAGAGAACTAAGGGGTACAGCGATTCCACAGTCCAGGCTGGGCCAGGCCCCTGCCCCACGGAGCCTGCCAGGCTGGGGGGAGGCGGGAGGGGACCGGTACCTGCTCGCCCTGGTCCCGGAAGAACTGCCCGGCGTTCTCGATAACCTGCTCGTCGGTGAGCTGGCTGTAGGGCTGCTCCTGGGACAGCAGCAGCACCTCCCAGAGAACTAAGGGGTACAGCGATTCCACAGTCCAGGCTGGGCCAGGCCCCTGCCCCACGGAGCCTGCCAGGCTGGGGGGAGGCGGGAGGGGACCGGTACCTGCTCGCCCTGGTCCCGGAAGAACTGCCCGGCGTTCTCGATAACCTGCTCGTCGGTGAGCTGGCTGTAGGGCTGCTCCTGGGACAGCAGCAGCACCTCCCAGAGCGTCACCCCGAAGGCCCAGACGTCGCTGGCCGTGGTGAACTTCCCCTGCGGTGGGGGGCGGGGGGACAGAGAGGGGAAGGGAGAAGCCCAAGTCAGAGCTCTGCTTCCCGCCCCGCTCCTCCTGCCCCCTCCCGCCCTGTCTGGCCCTCCCCCT